GGGTTTAATATTTTTCCTAGAACTTTTTTTTTTTTTTTTTTTTTTTTTTTTTTTTTTTTTTTTTTTTCAAAAAAAAAAAAAAAAAAAAAAAAAAAAAAAAAAGCTTTTAGATAAATCTGATAAATCTGTCGTGATTATATCCCTTATTTTGGTTTGTTCAGCAAGTACTGCTGTGTGTCAGTGTGCAGTGCCCTATGGCAGGCAGATGAATACCTCCCATTTGCTTTGTCCTGTTGTCCCACTTCACAAAATGCTGCCCAAAAGCAGGGGAATCTGCACCTGAGTGTGCCAAGGCTGGAGGAATTATTTGTAGGCAAAGGACCTTGCTGAGCCTCCCAGGAAAATAAAAAGATTTCTCTTTTGATTTGAAGGAGAAAAATAGTGGCTATTGCAGTGCAGGAAGCTACTGAAAAACTGCTGGCCTGAGAGCAATGAGATTGGAGGGAAAAACACTGTCTCTCTCCTGAGAGATGTTGGGCAGAGAGAGAATTGACTGACATCTCTTCTCTTTTATTTTGTCCTCCTTGCCCAGTACATCTGAGTTTTCTGTTTAAGAACAGTTAACTCTTCCTAGCACATTAGGTGCTGAAAATACTTTTGGTGTTCTTGATGGACTCATTTTAAGTAAAACATACAGGAAGTCCACCTCCAGACTGGTTGATCAAAGATATCAGGTTCCGCCCCACACTCCACACCTCTCCCCACCAAATCATTGCTTTCTAAGAAGAACCCAAATGATTTAGATGCAAAGAAATGAAATTAACATAAACATCTGGATCTAGAAATAAAATCCTGCCCTGTACTTGGACCTATGTCTGTTGAAGTGAATATATGCCTTTTGTTATGATCGTTATTCCTTTGATAGCTGGAAAGCATCTGTAAGGCTTTTGGAGAAAGTCCAAAATGAAAACAACTATGCCATCTTCAAATATATCCCAAAACTGGAAGGGAGTTTGGTTGACATCTGCTAGGGAAGAGGGAGGACAAACTGGCCAGCCTGAAATATATCTGTTTTGTTTGCTTTGTGCTATGTTGCTGCCCAAACTGGGGGAACAGACCTTCTTTGTAGGTGCTTCTGGCTTCCTCCAGAAGCTATAAAAATCCCAGAAATAAGTGGATTTCTTGCCATAGCCCACTCAGAGTCAAACCTTCCTTCCCAAAAAGAACTTCACATGAAAACTTGCAGAAGAATTTGTAGATAATATTTTTGCCTTTCCCAGCTCAGCCTCCCAGACCCAATCAGCTTTTCTGCAGGATATAATAAACCAGTATATAAGAATTGGCAAAAGACAATTGAACAAACATTACAGGACCCTGGCAAATCTGGTAGTATTTGCAACTTGACCTTTTCTGGCTAGCATTCTTGGGTGTGGGAAGCCCTCCTACAACCATTTTAATTCCTTTAAAGAGAGCCAAGGAGCCAGTCCTACGCTGTGACCCATTGCTCAGTGCAGTGTGTAGCTGGAGCTGGAACTGAGGTCTCCTTCTGGGGATTTAGTGTATGACAAAATTGGTGCTGGGCCCACTCTGCAAAACGACATGCATTCAGCAGGGGACTCTGAGGTAAGTGATAGTCTTTATGGATTTGCTTTGTTTGAGTGCAACTTGCATATGCACATATAGAAGTGAAAGCCACAGCCTACTGAAGTCAGTGGGAGTCCTCCCACTGTTTCCAGGAAGTTTCAGAGCTGATTCAATAGGATGCTAACTTGTTTTGAGAAAGCATGCATGCAAACATCAGCATTTTTGCCCAGGGCTTTACAGACGCATTCTTCTGCTCCATGAGACATTTCTCATGTGTAGTGAAAATTCCTTAGGTTCCAATCCTTACTTATATCTTTCTAGTATTCAGCACAAAAAGACCTAAAACATGATTGTGTCTTCTAGCTACTACTGTAGTGCAAAAGACTAATATAATCATCAAATCAATTTGAGCTCCAGGAAATCTGAGGATGGTTTTGTTATTCCCCACCATCGAAAACTCATCTTGAATGCTGCCTTTTGGCTGCTGAGTTCTATGTGCTGTTCAAGGATCTTTGAATAATGGAAAGATGTTATATTTTGATATAATGAATTGAGCTTTCTAATACAACCAGCTGAAAGGACAGAAAGAACTGCTTGATGACTTTGTAAGATAAGCAATTATATCCACATCGCCACACTGGGAGAGAGAGGGAGACGAATTAACTGCAGACAAGACTCCTGAAAGCTATCAAAAAATAAAGACATGTTCAAAAAATGTTCTACCATTTAAAATAAGGATCAAGTTGGAAGTGATTGTCAAATAGATCTGTTACCAAATCTTCTGGGTCTGAAATTTTAATTCATAGTTGGAGATATCCCTGGTTCTTTTCCATCACAACTATTTTCCTCAATATCATGTTTGCATAGAACTACACAGCTCAGTGATTTACAGAAGGGGGAACGGACAAAAAGTTGATGTTCAGTTGTACACCTTTAAGGCTTCAACTGATCACAGATGCGGCAGATAATATGGTGATTTACCCGTGTGAACCTTCTTAGCCCTGTGAAGCCTATAATTATTCAAATTAGATGAGATTATGGAGTTCACAGGGAGAAAAAATGGCATGAGAGCCCTGAGTTCTTGTTTTCCTCATATTCCATTGATAATCCAAATTTTGTCATGTCTAAATTCTTCAGCACTGAAATTAAGTGGAAAATACAGTTTGGCAGCTCACTAATGGTTTTGCCATTTGCAAGAAAAGTGGCTCTAGGTAGAAAAAAATATGTTAATAGTTAATGTTCAGCATGCTCTGCAAACCAATTTGGCTTTCAAGTCTGGTATGGTTGGCTTTATATTATACTGATGGATTTTTTGCAGCTAGAACTAGTGCTGTCAGACATTTCATTTTCCTTTATTTCATAAATATATTATGTTTCTCCATTTTCTGTAGTGATAAAGAATGGTAAGATTATTTTCAATATTTTCAAGCTTTAAATGTATTTCTTATTAAATTACCAGTGGATAGTTCATGTTTGGTTTCAAGCTTTAACATAAAGTCCTTGGAAAAAAGGCACATTGGAATTATCTTTTTCCCATACATATTGTGCTTTCAACACCTTGGATCTCAAAATAGCAAAGCGATATTAAACATTTCTTTGTTTCTACTGCAACGGAAAAGCTGCAAGGACCAGAGTTCCGTTTGGAACTACCATGTGTGCAACAGGATTTAATAAACAGTAGCTAAGAAAAAAGGCCAGAGCAATCCATATGGAGAAACCAGTAGATCTTTCCTGCAGCACTCTGAATAACTTGGCTAGCTTTATCCAAGAAAGACAGGAACTCTTCCTGCTGAGCTGTTCTTTTATGAGTGCTGTGCCTCTTACCTTGCAGCAAGAGACCTCGGGGTACGCTGTCTGTGGGGTACAGGACACAGGCAAGCCTGCTGCCCCTGCAGAAGGTCCACAAAGTTCCACTCTAAGCAAGTGCTGCTCCTGCTTGGGAGATGGACTCCCATTTTGCTGCTCATGGGTGTTTCTTTGGTGGCAAAGGTGAGTCCCAAGCTGTCAAGTAGGTAACCCCAGGCACTCACAGAAAAAAAAAGGACCACTGATAAACAGTGAAACCTGTTGAACCAGCACCTCAGGGAGTCAGAGATGCTATCATCAATGGCTCCACTGAAAGAAAAGGAAAAAAACCCTCAGTTTTGGCAAATAAATAAAGGCACAAATATTCTGAAAAGAGGTAAATGGGTGTTCTCAGACATCTTGAACTAAAAAATTCCTTCTCTGTAGGGCTTTGAGGACAGAAATACCTCCAAATAATCATTTTTCTATGTTTTTTTTTTTTTTCTTTTCTTTTCAGACTCTTGGAAAGGGTCATCTTTCTTTGGCAAGATTTGAAGAGCTGTCTGCAAAGCCAAACACTGAAAACTAAACTTTCAAAAGAAAACATCTCAATGGAAGACATGACAGTATTGACAGTTGGTCAAAAACAGTTGGAGAGCTGCCAGCATCATATACCCTCCCTAAGATAAAATCCAAAGATGAAGTCTGTTTAATGTGATTTCAGGAATTTAAGTCAGATCGCTCTGAGACGTCATTCTGAGGTGATCCTAATGAATCGTTATCCTAACAATTTCTCCTGCTCAAAGCATTAGGCTATGGGGAAAGGAGATCATATCTGTTGAAACTGTAAGTGCAAGAAAGAACATAGCTCTGCAACCTGGTGTACAGGGGCATAAACGGATAAAAGAGATCTTGGCTTCCTGCCCCCACTGCCTAAATTTAGCCTGTAAGGACTGGTTTGAGAAAGTGCCATCCTTATTTCATTTTTTTAAAGAAAGAATTTCTTATCCTACTTTCAGGGGCAGATTTGTGAGACCATCTTAAATAGGTAGAATCACTTTGCTGAAGCATTTAGCAGGGAGCAAAGTGCACTAGAGGAGACAGGATTTAGAACACATCATCCTTCTCATTGTCCAGCACCAGGCTGTGCCTAACTTTCTCATACAAAAGAACTTAGATTGTCTCTAAATCCACCTGGTACTCCAGATTAGGCGGTTAAGGTACATCAGGGTCCACAGGTAGAAGCACACCAGGAAGCAACACGTTTAGCATTGCATTGGCCGCTGTGTTGAGTGACCAGTTGTGCTCACTGGGGACTATGTGAAGCCAGGGAAGCCTTGAACTTCCAGACCTGAAGGTGTGGAGAGATGTTTGCTGCAGCCTGCGGTGATTTGGGGTATTGATCTGAATTCTGTCCCTGGGATCAGGAACATAAGTAGGTTGCATTAGGGTAACATGGTGGGTCATAAGTCCCTCTAATGCTGTGATCACTGGTTTCTGTTCTTCATGAGGTTTGAAAATGTTCAACTAAATGTACATGTAAGAAATTGGCAATAAAAATTGATAAATGAGTTGTTTGATAAAAACACCACCAACAAGAGAAAGCAAAAATAAGATTCCAGGCTTATGCAAAAAGACCTGTCTGCTAAGACAGGAGATTCCCTCTTGAGGGTTACAAATTGTTTGTGCAGACTACTTTTGCAATCAAAACAAGAACCCAAATGAATTACATAGGAACTACTTTAATGCTGGCTTGCTCAAGGAAGGCTGCAAAATTGTTTGGGTTACTAAACATAAAGCACAGCTTTGAAAAAAATGCAAGGGTTGATATAGTAAGAATTCCCTCTCAGAGATCTCTCTGAAATCAGCATTAGGAACCCATTAAAATCAATCATACTTCAAATCACTTTAATTCCATTGACAGTCTAGATGATTAGGTGGGTAAGAAGTGAAAGACACCGTTAAAACTAGACTTATTTTGAAAAGTGGACTGTAAAGAACGCCATGTAGTTTGATATTGGAAGCTGCTACCTCTCTGAATTAAAGTGGCTGGGACTCATACCTCTGGAGAGAGTTGGGACATCAGTGAAGAGAAGCTGACCCTCTCTGCTTCTGCTTAACTGTGAGTTTGGTAGTCCTGCTCCTGAAACAAAAATGCTAGATTTTTGTTGTTGTTCTTGTTTTTCTTCTTCTTACCTAATGGAAACCAAGTATTACTCTCTGGGCTATTATCTTAGACTCTCAGTTTAAACAACCAATCATTAACTTGATTTCTTTGGAGGAAGAAATCCAAAAATATCAAAAGCTGTGCACTTTAAATAATGACTCAACCATGGCATTCTTAACTCCTATGAGAGCCAGGGAGATTATTCAATGCATTTCAGGCAAAACAAAATGTTGCTTTCACCACCAATCTGAAAATTCCAGTAAGTCAAGTGAAAAAAAATGAATCAAAAAGAACAAAATTCCTCTTGTTGCCCCAGGATACTTGATAATAAGCATCCTATGAGGGATGCGTAGAGATTTGTAATAATGATCCAGGGACCTGTCTTGTGCTCATTCCATACATGAGCAGGACCATGGAAATTAATAGATCTAACTAAAAGAATAAAGGTCTGCAGGATCTGCAGGATCTGTTCTGATCAGCAATATTTACTTCTGTTCTCTTTGGAGTAGGGGATGGGGTGTGGAGAGGAGGAAAATACTGTAGAGGAAAATACCGTAGAAGAAAATACTATAGGAATTGGAAGGTCATCTAAATAAATCATAACTAATGAGGCATCTGCCATTAAAAATAAATCATCATCACTTTGTCACTATCCAATTTGCCATTAAATTAGTTTCCAGATATGACATCAGGTCCAATCTTTTCCTATCAGCATTGATGCTTTATTATTGTGAAATGGGAGCACTGGAAGGATGAAAATGCTCAATGTGCATTAGTAATCAGATTCAGTAATCAGGCTGTTTGGAAAGGTATTCCTCTTGGTGTGTTCTCATTCCTACTGGTGTTTCTGATATATAAAACATAAACTAAACAACTAACTCCTACTTGTGCACTTTTGGCAAGGCAGTGTATTCTTCACATAAGTAATTATTGCTTGATTTTTATTTTAAACTTGTATACACTCTTAGTAGAAAAATAATGCTGTGCCAAAGCCTGTCAATCCAAGAATTTCAGAGCAATCTAACCGTTTTATTGTAATTAAAATGTTTCCCCAGAGAGAGTCATTTTCCCTCAAAACACTGCTCAGATGTGCTGGATGACATTATCTTCCTAATAATAATTTAAGAAAATGCTGTCAATAAAATTGTCTTACTAGTTAATCTACTTTGCCTGTTCCCTTGTGTCCTTATTGCAGGTTTCTTATTTCATTTGGAATTATGTTTTACTGAACTATAACAAACTGTTATACAAAAGGTAATAATTCAGTTCGATCAGTTGCTGGTGTCTGTAAAACCAGCATACTAATGGTTCTCTTTCTAAGTGGCAGGGTAGGCTCACTTACAAAAAGGATTCTACCGGATTTAAACCAGTTGTAACAGAGAGCAGAACTTGGCCCGTCATACAGTTAGCAATATATCCATGTGGTCAGGTTGTAATTGCTAACATGTGACAGTCGCAGCAGCACTGGGCACGTTAAATGAGAAAAGGGCATTACTTGATTACCTGCACTGGCGGCTGTCATATGAGATGGATGGTTGAAGGAGCACTTCTGTTAGGACTCCCTGGCACTCCTCTGAAATTACTAGTTTCGAAAGTCAGCCATGGACAGCATGCTGTTGTGAGCTCATTAGTTTGTCTCAAGATAGGAAGAGTTATCCGGATAAGAGGTAACTCAGCGGGGCTGGCACAGGCCAGGAAAAACTTCGGGCTACAATTTTGTTGTGACTGGTCCATTGCCTCATAAATCTGCAGCTCCAGCAGTGCCTGAATTTTCCATTTCAGGGGAAATGGATTTGCATCGTACCTTACCCACAAAGGATGATAACCTTACTGAGCAAATAGCTTTTGCAACTTCAGTGGAGCTTCTCGCAAGTGGGGTTTCTAAACCTTGCCGTACTCTTCTAGTCTGATTCATAGGTGTTTGTGGCCTTTTAAGAAATACATTTGTCAATAGTCCTCAAGCCCATAGCCATCAGCCAGCTGTACTTGAACCCCCAGGGACAGTCCGGCCCAAGCCTGATGAACCTCTAGGCATGAAGCTGACTGCTTACTTTCTTGCCACTTTTTTTTTTATATCCTGGTCATCATCTAAAAACACATCCTGGATTTAAAGTCAGGAAAGCCCAAGAAATTTGTCAGCTGCAGTTCCACACTCCCTTTTCACTATGCTTTGATTTTCTGCAATTTCTCCATAACATATGGGAGACAAACTGCAGACCCATCAGTTTCCAGAAGACTTTGCTTTGAAAAATGTTAAGGAACCTTGAATGTATTTTGGTGCTGCATACGCAATACATACAAGGCAATGTTGAAAGTTTTGGTGTGGTCTAAATGACATCACTAAAGCAGAGAAAGGTGATTCGTATGATTTGGACTGCTGAGAAACAACCTCTCTGTTGAACCTAAACATCAGGCAAAATCTATATTAGCAAGAAAGCTTACGCTGTAGTTTGCAAGAAGTACGTACCTCATTGCATTGATAACACAACACGAAACTATTGCAGGCAGTGTGTCAGCTGGCTGCCTGGGAGAAGGGCAGGCTATTCTACAGTGACAGCAATTGTTACTGTGAAGCTTTAAGAGCCTTAAAACACAAGGGTCATGTAGCTGTTTAGAGAAGTTATTGAAAAATTTCAGAGCTGTTGCCAATTTTGATATTTGAAGAACTGCTTTCACCACAAATGAAGACAGGAGTCAGTATATTACAACTTTTCATTTAAAAAGTCTAAAATTTTTATTCAGAATGGTTAACATATTTCACTCTGATTTGAATCAGTGTTAAACTGAATATGTCTGAGCTACTGATGTGTCTCAAGGAAGCTACGCTTTAAACACCAAGTAGCTCTCTGTTCACCTATGACTCAGGTTTACTAGTTGGGCAATGTCTTATGTATTCCTGGTTAGGCCATGCTTTTAGTGCAATGCACAGCCTCAGGGGAGACCATGTGGTGTCATGGGTCAGGTGGTACCATACTCTGCTTAGTCCACATGAGGCATCCTTGGCCTCATTGGCTTGGATTCACCAGTGGAAAGCAAATGTCTTGATTAGATTTTCAGAAACAGTAGAAGAAATATTTGCAGGAATTATTAGAGCTATGGGAAAAATACCATGTTCAGGAAGGACTTGACTGATCTGTTATTAAAATCCAAGTGCAAAGCAATAACTGAAGTTTTCAGAGATAACTTCTACATGAGGAGAAGACTCCTAACAAACCTCTGCAGTAGCCATCTCTGTTACACTGTCTGGGCCCCAGGGCTGAGGAATTGCCTAGTCCCTACCTCTTTAACTGCTGGTTTAGGCTGTATGAATAGAAGTTTATTCTTATGTAAAGCAACATTAGTGGCATTTCAAGGTTGGAGGTTGCACAATGAGCCTGGTATGTCTGTGGGAAAATAAATCAGTTTTACAAAAGTACTTAAAAAATCTGTCTGTGAAATTTGGAGGATGACCCACTAAGTTTGACTTGCTTGTTTTGTGGTGCTCCTGGGGGCTGTGTTTTGTTTAGACTTTGGTATTAAGTAGTCTAATTGTGACTGTAGACGGGGGCCTTTTGCATTTGCATAATCTTCTCATGGGACTACAGTTGCTAATTTGGTGATTAATTATCCATATTACACACTGTTTATTTGACCATGCCTAGATTAATTTCTCTTTCCAAGCAAATCACATTTAGATATGAATTTGCATATCTTGATTACATTTTAATGTCTTGGCTATCATTGTTTCTTCCCTGGGTACCTCATCAGATTAGAGAAGAGTGCTCAAGCAGGGAATGATGGAATGTCTTAAATGATATTGCATATCACTGGACAGACCATGCATATGACTCCATGTTCATGGAAAATGTGTTTCTTTAATTGGCAGGAAGGTTATGACACCTAGACTGCAGGCCCTTTGTAAATTTTGCAGCATTATATCTTAAGGATATGTTTCAAGCAGGTCATTTTAGCAAGGTAATGTGAAGAAAATAACTAATATATGCCCACAAATCTAGAAGATACTGATGTTCATAGATTTTCATCTGCACTCCAGCTCTTCCAAAACATTTCCAGCTTTATAGGAAGAATAAATATATGTAAAGCTTCTCTCTAATTTAAGAGTAGGAGTTAAGTCACAGGAATAGAACATGTATTTTAAGGCTAAGGTTCAGCATGTAACATGGCAAACCCTTGAATATATTCCAATAAAAAGCAGAAAGCCAATTTGTTCCTGCCATGCTTTTCTGAGACAAGTTTTTGCAAGAATTGTATTCTAACACAGCTGGAATCTATGCAAACAACAGGAAAAAAAGGATTAGTATATTCATAAAAACCTTTCCAATGATCACTGTTGTATCTCAACAGACAACTAGGAAATTCTTTTTATAAAGCAAGCTGCTTATTCTGAATACCTTCAAGATTATGTATGCCTTGTGTATTTGGAATTTTGTGTCTCATTTACTTCAGCAGCACATGCACTATATGCACTATAGAAGCACTACAGCTAGGTATAGCCCTAAAAATAGAATAATATTTATTGTAAGAAGCATGAATTTTTACAGTTTTTGTTATTAAAAAGAGTGTTCTCTTATATCCACTTGTCTATTTCATCATAGCAACAATCTGTACGCAATGTAAATTATAAAACATCACTGTTGTAATAGTAGTTAATTCCATCATTAGTTCCCATAAGATGAAGGCAAAAAAATACACTGAGATCTCCAAATGTGGTTACACACAGGAAAGAGGAACATTGTACAAACTGACGTATAGCAATCGTCAACACTGATTCTATTTGATCTCTCCTAGGTGCTCTTCCAACAAGCATTGTATCCAGGAAAAGAAAGCTAACAAGTAAAACTGTAATTGTTAAAACTTGATAACCCAAACATATTCATATCTTTTGATGGGGAGTTTTTTGTGCATTCAGAGCATTTTATCGCCATATGAAAGTCAATGACTCCTATCCACAAAACATATCAGGAAGTATGTCAAAATATTGGGAGCCTGACCCTAAAAACACCTCCCTGTTAAAATCAGTCTGATTATTCATATGAGTGAAGTTATTCACATGTGTTAGTATTTGCTGTAGCAGACCCTTGACCTTTGGCTTTACGGGAATACAACACAGTTGTCATGATTTCACAATATAAATAGACACTATTAAAAAACCCAGAGTAACAACATAGACTTACTGGGATTAAAAACAAAGCATCATAAATGTTTATGGATGTCACAAATAAAAGGGCAACTTCAAGTTCATGTGAGCTCTGCACATTTCTTGTTTGAAGTCCAAGTTCATGGGCTGCAGTCCTCCTCAAGAAATGCCTGCCAACACATGTACACATATTTCAGTATCAGTTTGATCCTCCTTTTAAAAACAAACTGTGTTTTGTTGCACAATGAAGATGAAAAACAATTTAAACCAGAGCTAATACTCCCTAAGGAATGAAAACCATCTTTGGAAATTGCATACAAACTTTTAATTATTATTATATTGTAGCTTATAAAACTTTCAAATACCAAACTAACATTTAATAAAGAAGTGGGTGGGCGACTACATCATGAAGCCCCCAAACACAATAAACAAAGCTGCTGGCAAGCATGATGCCTTTCTCTGTGCCAAAATAATGTTCTTTGTGTTATTGTCCTCAGTGAGGCATGAAGGGTTTGGATGAAATTCTTGCCACATTGAGATCAATGGTAAAAACTACTGACCTTGAGCCAAAATGTCACCCTCTGTATTAAATTAAAAAGAGAGAAGTGGGGAGGAGATGATGACTGAACTGACCCATAGCACAGAAATGAGAGCCTGCTGGGGGCTGCAACCCTTGGCTGGTGGTGCTGGCCTGGCCCCCCAGGCTTGCCCCTGATGAACGATGGGTGACCTTGGTCCTTGCTGTGGCTGGCTCGGCCCAGAGCCTTGCACAAGCATGGCAGCAGCTCCACCCTTTGCTGGCGTCAGTGCTCCAACCAGCAGCAACTTGTCTTTGCAAGTGTGCCTTTACTAGCTTAGGACAAGTAAACAGGGAGGAGGGCCCTAATAAAGAGCTTTACTGAACCTGCAAACACTTGGGAAATTGTGCTAGAGAAGTTCTTCAATCGACCCAGCTAAAAGTCTCCCTCAAGCCCCTAAATGTATTTGCTTTGGTCCTGATGGTGAGATG